TCACCACCAAGCCAGTTTTGGCACATTTTTACCCTGCTCTTGATATCGAAATTCACACAGATGCTAGCGTTGATGGACTTGGTGCTGTACGGATGGAAAAGCAAGAAGCTCGAGAACATGTTGTCGCATATGCAAGCCGAACTTTGTCCAACGCAGAGAGGAATTACACCATCACTGAAAAATAATGGCTTGCTATAATTTGGGCAACCAGCAAGTTTAGACATTATATATTTGGGCGTCCGTTTGAAGTGGTTATAGACCACCATGCTCTGAGCTGGTTATCAAACGTGAAAGATCCTCCTGGACGTCTGGGACGATGGTCACTAGAACCCCAAGAATACGACGTTTCCATATGCCATAAGTCTGTGAAACAACACAGCGCGCCTGACTGCTTATCTCCGGAGTCCCATCTCACCCTCCCCAGAAACTCCCTCTTCTGCCGTTGCCGCAATTACTTTGACCTTTAGTTCGGATTTTGCTCAGGAACAAAGGAGAGACCCACCTTTACAACAGATTTTGAACCGTCTCAACAAACCCGAACTCACCCGCCACGAACAACGGCTTGTTGGCCCCTACACATTGTAAAATGACGTACTGTACCGTCGCAACTATGACCCACATGATCCTGCTCTGCTCTTTGTTGTTCCAAGACATCTTCGACCTGATATCCTAGGTGCTCTACATGATGACCCAACAGCTGGACACCTGGGTTTTATTAAAACTTATATGCGTGTGCGCAATACCTTCTACTGGCACGGTATGCACGTACCGCGACATTTCCAAGTACGTAGCATCATGCGTCCAATGTCAGAGACGAAGAAGGACAACGACCGTACCAGCTGGACTTCTAAATCCTCTCGGTCCACCTCACTGCCCATCTGAACGCATCGGTGTCGACCTCGTGGGGTCCCTTCCTCTTACACACAACGGTAACCGCTGGGTCATTGTTGCCATGGGTCATTTGTCACGTTATGCAGAGGGCGCTGCCTTACATTCGGCAAATACAGAGGAAGTCGCCAAATTTCTCTCGAACAACATCATTTTGCGACACGGACCCCTCGTCACGTACTCAGCGATCGAGCAACAGTATTTCTTTCCCTTATACAGAAACTATTACATCTTTGTGGAACCATTCATAGACCTACAACATCATATCATTCACAAACACATAGCTTCGTGGAACGTTTCAGTCGCACCATTGCCGAGATGATTTCCATGTATGTCGAATCTGACCAACGAAAATGGGATGCTGTTCCTCCGCTCTTACTTACGCATACAACACTGCCGTTCAAGACACTCACGGTTACTTTCCATTTTATCTTCTCCATAATTGTCTTCCAACCACATTCTTGGACACGCTCTTACCTTACCGTCAAAATGACGAACTCCCGACACTGTAGCACATGTCGTGTGCAGTGCTGAAGAAGCGCCCCAACTTGCCCGGCTACGCACACGCATATCATAGCAACGCCAATGCCGACGGTATAACAAGACTCACCGCCCCGTTTCATATGAAATAGGCATTTTTGTTTTACTCTGGACGCCTCAACGACACCAGAGCTTGACTGCCAAGTTCCTCCACCGCTACATTGTCCCTTACGTAGTTGTGCGCAAACTGTCTGACCTTTCATACCACGTGCAGAAACAGCAAGGCACTACTGACCGACGTCGAGAAACCTCCGATGTAGTCCACGTCGCCCGCATGAAGCCTTATACCCCCCGACTTACCGCATAAAACAACGCCACCGTCGTTACTAAAAAAAAAAAGTTTAATCCGCAAAAAAAAAAAAAAAAAAAGGGGGAGGGGGGTAATGTTACTCAGGAGAAGAGAAACAGTCCGCCGGGTCGTATTGCGGTGTTTGCTTCTGCTAGAAGTACGTTTAAGCCGGGGTCACCCTGCTTATACACAATACTAAATACAATCTGCAAACAGATTCAAACGCGAGTCACCACGAGATCTGAGCTTCGAATGCCGCACCGAAACGAGTTGAAGGAAACACTTGGCACACGGCATTTGAACCACGGATATTGTGGTGACTGATATCTGCAGACTGCTTTTTTCATAATGTATGGGCAGTGTGACCCCGGCTTAAAGGTACTTCTAGCAGAAGCAAACACCGCAATATGACCCGCAAAAGGTGCGTAATGAATATCTGAAATATTAAAAGATGGACAACACCTCGTGCTGAGGCATTAAAAACTACGCCAAACAACGTGCAAAAAAAAAAAAAAAAAAAAATCGCAGATTTATTTTTTTGGGGGGGGGGGGGGAATTTGAATTTTTTATTTACGGGGCTAATTGTTTTTGGGAGTTTGATACGTGCTACCGGTTGCAGTCAAACATATCAAAAGGGACGCTTGCAGCGCTAGCCGCAACATGTCCAGATGCATATCTCAAACTAAATACGCATCACAACTTGCCTATCCACATCCCCAGAGCTGCTGTTCACCGTTCTACCACCAGACACAAAAATCTGTGAGTAGAAGTTGCAGTACCTCTACATAACAATACTTTTTCTTGAACTCTTCTCCCTCGTTGAAACTACTGAAACGGCAAATACGATTCCTGGGTTGGGAGCGGCTCCCCGCGGAGAAACGCCGCCTCCTTCTCTTTTTCTCATTACAGCGCGAAACACATGTACGATGAAACCGTCCGATCCGACGTGCGGACTGCCGCAATGACCTTCGGGGGCGAGGGATTTCGTAGCAACGGAGAGCGTTGAAAACCCTCGCCTCCCACCGTCGTATTGCCTGATCGGACGTCGGATCGGGCGGTTTCGTCGTACACGTGTTTCGCGCTTATACGCCCTCTCCGCACGAATGGGACGGCCAAAGAAGCGTTCGCGTACTTCGGGATCTCGGAGGCCATGCCCTGGAGGGCACTTTGAATTGGCCTTCGTATTTCGTTTCTTCTTTTATATAAAACAACTACGCAACTCCAAGGTAAAACAATTTTTTGGTCCTGAAACACCGTTTTAACGCATAGCATAAAATATATATATATATATTTCTTTTTGGAGTATCAGAGGCCCTTTGAAGTGGTCACGAAACAATTTTTCAACTTTTTCCTGTTTAGCTTTTTTCCTCAACTCACAAATCGCAAATTGTACCAAACAGTTCAAGGTGACCAAAAAAAAGGGGGGGGGGGGGGGGGGTCCGCTCTTACTCGGGCCCTTGTTTGTGTACCCGGGCACAACCATTCTCCCCGTATAAAAAAAAAAACAAAAAAAAAAACAACAAACAAACAAGAAGATTCGCCTGTCGCTCAAAATTCGGACAAAAATTACTTTCCGACTTCGCTCACCCCTAACTGGTGTGGAAGCTACCTGCTCGTTGGGACAGCCACACTTTTGCCACGTGATCACGCTCTTTCGCGCATACCCACGCGTTAGAGAATGAGGTCAGGGGATGAAAGAGAGGCGGATGATTGGTCCGGCAAGCGCATAACTTCCACCGCACGGTCAGCTTATGGGTAAAGGGAATAAGCGAGGTCCGGTGTCGTGTGACGCGCGTTTGGGCCCGGTGACGCGCTTTGGGTACCGCGGATGTATCACAGTGAAAAGCCAGAGAGCTGACGAAGGGAAGGAGGCACGAAATAGTCCGCTGTGTTTTCAGATATTTGTACGGAAAATCAGGCTTTTGACATTCTATTTTCTTCCTTTTGACCCACTAAACGATATGCTATTAGTAAATTGCCAATCTGAATTCCCTTATCGCAGACAAAAATTCGTTTGGTGGGTCCTTTGAGTATAATAGAAAATATTTTGTCATGTTTAGGTTTTTCTGGACAAACTGTTTCTTATTCCTTTTGCACGACTTAGTGTTTGAGGCCCCCCGAGTGCCGAGGCCCCTGGGCTGCAGCTTCCTTAGCCCGTAACTTAATTCGGACCAACTTGCAATACCCGCCCGTGTACCGCTGCAGTCGTTCTGCGACTGCCGAAGCCACTTCGCGATAATTACGCGTGCCGCCGCCGCGAGAGGCGTGAGTATCGGCACTGAGTTAGATCTGCAGGGTGCCTATAGATTTTAAAAGCCGATGCAGACTATCTGCACGTACTGACGATACAAAGACTTTTTTTCTTTTTTCTTTTTAAATCGTTTACTGTGACAGGAAGTGAAGACTTTTAAGTATACGGAGTATATTAATGCGGATTTATGTATAATACAGGCTCCTTTGTGAGCTAATACAGAAGGCATTTATTAACGTGTGCTTTGTATTATCATCTTTACTTTCGCACTAGGTTCGAAGGGCGGACTATGCACGGTGTGCTGACCATGCGCCGGGTGCGGACTATCTCAGCAAAAACGTCTTATTTTTGACCCCAAAATTTGTTTTTGCGGACCATGCACGGTATCCGGACTATAGCCGTAAAATACCTATATAATAAGTTAGGCGTATTCATTTTAACCCGGCACGTGGATGTTTCCCAGTGTATTTCAGCTTTAGTTTTTCTTGGTGCAGCGCACAACGTGGGTGTTTTCTTGTAAAATAAAAATGAAAACGGCTAAGTTACGGCTTTGTGCCTTATATTTTGCTCATTTGTGTTTATATCAAAGCATCACCGGCAATCTGGGCCCCATCGGTATCAGGAACGCATGCCTCTTTGGTCCACCGTTTCAAGGCAACAGAAAGGCATGAAAAGGTAGCGGATGATTATACTCACGATATTTTTTATAAATTAAAAAAAAGCTGGCAAACCAGATATTTTACGCCGAATATATTGTAAAACGTGTTTCTACGTAACAAAGCCAGGTTATTCGCACACTGAATGCAGCGAGAAGCGTTCACGCAAGATTTAACGGCCGTTTTACTGATATCGAAAACACATTTCAGTAATTCTGATTTTTTTAAGTAAAAAGGATCAAGTACGCACACAATTCTTTTTATAATCGTTCGCGTTATGATATTAACTTCAAAGCCTACGTGTGCACTTGTTCAATTAGGTTATACAATATAGGTTTTTAACGCTATAGTTCCTGTACGTAATATATGAACTTACAGACTCGATAGCTGACGAGCAACTTCCCTGACTCCGCTGTAGTCGCCGTCATCTGTCGCTGCAACCACATTCTCTCCAGTCAGACAAATTCTTCCGATTCCTCCATTGATGCCTGCAACAATTTTGTTTACAAGTCAGATACGCATATGCCCGGGACAGTTGAAATAAGCATACAAAATGTAAAGTGAGCCATAAACTAACATTAAATTAACCACAAAAGGTGGTCAGTCAGATGATTTGTTAATTTGTGTAAACTCAGAAGTAGTAAAATGTGTGAAAGTGGTGCACCAAACATAATAGGTGATGTGACACATTTAAAGTGCGAAGACACTGTTGTGAAACACGTAAGTACCTGAAAATCGGTGACTATAAGGAACCTTTCGAGCATCGAATATACAGTTTCCCAGAAAATGAAATATAAAGTCGCCCAGGCAGCTTATCCGTTGGAGCACTCGTTTTTCAGAGGCATTCTATTTTAACTGACGATTGAATAAATTATCATTTTTTTTTCTCACCCAAGCAAAGGGCGTGAGGCCTTTAACGCGAGTCCCGCACAGCCTCCAAAAGCTGCGTCGTCGAAAATGTCGTTTTTTCACTCTTGAAGACTCTACTAGCCTAAGTATCAATATTTTTATAACGGTTTAGTTCCTTGTAACATATTTGTCTATATATTTGTAGACACAGAGGTATGCGACGTAAAATTACAGTAAAAATACATTTCGTTCAACATATCTGATGAGAGGCGCACTTGTGTGAAGCATCTAGGGACTCTGTGAATAATAATAACAATAATAATGTTAATAATAATAATAACAATAATAATAATAATCTTTATTTGCTCCGGTGTGCCGCGTCAGCGCACACCGATTCGATAATATTTCCAAGATATTTATACTATGTTTACAAGATATGTAAAAGTGATGGCTGTTCGAGCCATATTTTAATGCCTGCAATAATAACCACACTTTTTTGTTGCATATTCTTATATGGTCTGCTATTCGGTTGCATTCCTCAAACAAACTCAACCCTCATCGGCGGTTTTTTCTTCTTTTTTTAAGTTTGACGGCAGGCAACTACAGATTATCTTAAGAAAAAAAACAAACTATTTTTTATTGTAAGTCATCCGACTGTAAACGGACGGCGTTCCTAACACTTTCTTGCTGCTCAGCTTTAAAAACGACCCCTCTAGTAGCACGTGCGCAGCAGTGACGCACAGTTTTGATGCACGATGAGGCTGAATCAAGTAATATACTCCTGCGCTCTCGTTCACATGCTAAATCTCAAGTTCAAGTTTAAGTTTAATTCCTCTCAAGGACATCTGAATGATGTATTACATGGGAAGATAAAAATAATTCAATGATCTTAGTGTTCATTAAACGTTTGAATAGTAGCAGTGTGTAAGCAGCTCACAGTACATAGGTGATTACCGAGAGGCACGGGAGTCCAAGTGGTCCCATTCCCTAAATCATTTTGCACTTTGAACAAAATCAAATCGTTGGTAGTTCGACTTATCGTGTCGGAGCGGTGCCACCGTTATCTTTTGTATATTGCCCGATCATTTCAGTTTACATTGCCCATGACTGTGCCCCGAATATGTCTTAAACCATGAGCGCCAATGATCGAGCAATTACCTCTCGGACAATTACCTCCGCCCGTAAACCATCAACCCTTTGCTCATGACACAGTTATTTATTTTCGTATACGGATCAACGTTTAGTCTACTCCCTATATCCTTTCTCAAATCATTACACTCACAGGTTGTTTGCAAACCGATGAAGCAGCGGGTGAAGCAACGAAGCCCTTATGTGGTTAAACCGGTAACGATTTGACGAACGCGAATTTCGCCATTAAAAATCAAGAGGGGAATTGTTCTATGCCATGTGCTTGGTGCTATACTTTAAGGAACAAACAATAGAATAAAGTTAACTTAGTTGTCGTACCCCCCCCCCTTTTTTTTAACCACCTAGCAGTGCACGTGAGTTTCTCTAACCGTGTGTGTGTCGGTTTCTTTGATTTATGTATAAAATTCATTTTGAACACAAGCGCTAACAAAACCCGTTTCCTACTTTTCTGCTTACCGGTTGGACGATTTGCTGTTTTGTTCATAATTTTCTTCCTGCGACAAAATGAAAATATTAGTTTAATTCATATGAACTTTTTCCGTATCTGGCTTCTGTTACTTTGGAGTCTTCACGTGCAAAAGGAGGCAAAATTAATTATTTGTTTTTATATATATATGCCCACAAAATAAACATTGCGACGAAACGTTTACGGCCAATGACGATAAAGAGGGTTGAAAATATTTACACCAATGAAGAGTTTTGTAGCTTGTATTCTAGCTATTCGTTGTATTTAAACATTATAGAATGCAAAAAGGAAGACAAAAAAGGTACAAATGATATGTCCCAAACGCAGCCAAGTAAGCTTTATTCAGACACTTTGCTTTGTGCTAAATATGTACACCATTCAATTGTTTACAATTCCTCAACCCAGCCTGCGATCTCCTCAGCCCAACATGCGCAATCACTCGCCATACGCAGGAACACCGAAAATGGAACCGGCCAGGAGCCCATTTTTGGAAAGGTCTGTCGGTGCTTGTCTTTGACGTCGCAGAGAACTTCCGGTTCATACAAATACTAAACAAACCCCACCCTAACGCTGCTGCTGTGGAAGGCCCTCGTTAAATTTCCAACTTCGTTGTCCGCGTAGCATTCATGCTTTCTATCACTGTTGACATAAGCAAGCTCCACAGTCTTGCGAAGACGGAGCGACCCGAAGTCGCTTGGGACAAAAGCGGCAGTTGATATTCGTAAAGAGCAAAAGGGTTGATACTTAGTTCGAGATCAAACATGGATGCTGTTCCATTTTCTCCTATGACCAGCTACTAAAGACATTTTATCAATCTGTCTCTTCATCTAAGTCCCAAAGCTTGAGTCTTCACGAGGAGAATGGGATATAAGTATAAATTATTTCTGTAACGCTTAAGTTACTCTTAAAAAATTTCATCTTTTTTGGCGTGGGAGTTTGTAATTTACTTTATTAAACGCATAGTACGCCGAGAAGCCCACACATTCACTAAAAATTATATTTGAATATTTTCGGAAATTGCTTTATTGCTTTATATGCAACGAGTACACTAATGCAACGAACAAATATTGGACGGGCCACAAAAAATCCGTTTCTCGACGACGCATCGTGCTGCCATTTACTATACTTCGTTTCACTTTATGCTGTACCGCAACGAAGGCTAGAAGCACGACTTATAGCGTTGGCAGCTGCTCTTGGTGCACGAGCTTGTGCCGCCGAGATGTGCTTAGAGCAAGAAGCTCGCGCTTTGTAGCCTTTCCTGCGGTACAACATAAGGTGAAACAGACTCTACAGACGTGCGGCTAGGTGATGAAAGTTTGGAGTAAAAGTATCAACAAATGAACTTATCTTAAAAAAAAAGTATGCGTTTTGGGTATTTTATAACCACTAAATATTCTAAACTTACGGTATCGCCCCTTCATTCCCCGATTTCCCCCGGGCGCCGCCACCTTGGTGCTTAATGCGAAGCGGTCTCAACTGTCGATTATTACAACTCGAAAATTAGACTTTCTAACCTGGAGATACGGCGTCGGGAAGCTCAGACGACGGCGTTCGACTTTGGCGGGGGCTACTTGCACAATTACAGAGAGAAAAATCCTGTTTCCCGTGATTCCTGATAATGCTCCAGATACCTGGTCACAAGCGGTCACGTTCGTGTTTTTCGAAAACTCCCCCCCCCCCCCCCCTCCCCAACGAATTGCGCGCTCCTATTGGACACAGCGCGCGTGGAGAACTTACGCTTTCTCCATGGAAACATTCTAGACACTGGAACACCTCCGCCGGTCGCAAGCAGTCTGATTCGCCTTCGGCTAATGACACCAAAATGACATATGACCTACATTGAACTATATTATCTGCGGCGCTAACATTTGATAGGTAAACCAAATACGATGGTTCGCTTTTCTCACTGTACACCGTTGGCTGGATCAATGCGCACAACAACGGATATTCAAAAAACACGCCAATATTTTCGCTATGCCGGAAGAGACATTTCGGCGTCAATACCAGCTATCTAAGAGCACAGTCACATGGCTCTGTGATCATCTTCGCGATGAAGAGGGAATACAGCGCCAACGTGAGACGGAGATGACGATGACCGTTGAGCAGCAAGTTCTAATCGCGCTTAAGTTCTTCGCCATGGGTGGCTACCAAGGTCTCGTAGCTACTGACAAAAGCCTGGCCATCGTTCAACCGACGGAGTGCAGAGCCGTGACGGCAGTGGCGAACTTAAGTCACGCGTGGTCCTGTTGTCCGGGCGATGCGAAAACGCTTGGCTGCTTTAGCACCGTCTTGATCCTGTTCTTGTTCGCGGCAGGCTGTACAACCGTTGTATACTTGAAGACAACGCGAATTTTATGTCCCCGCTAACATAGCTACTCGTTGATCAGCACCGTGCCGTTGACGATGGTCGTCGAAGCCAACTACACTCTTGCAATGAGGACGTGGTAAAGCCTCCACAACATACTCCCATGAATGTATCCTACCTCCTTTGTGGCTTGCGCAACGACCGGCTGTGACTAACGTCGTCAACGTCGTTCTTGCTGTTGCAAATCAACCAGCGACGAAAACCACCATCACTTCCATCACAGCTAAAAGTAGGAGCCGAGTTTCTTATCTTGCCAAGGATAACACAATTAATTTTTATCGTCACCTCGCTGTGCACTTGATCAGTCGTCGCCGTCGCCGAAAGGAGCTGTCCGACAGCGAAAAACACGTTATCGTGCCAGCCGTGGTCGTGCTCGTGGGTCCAGCTAACGTCACTCAAGTCACACAGCCTAGTAGCCTAGTAGAGCAAGAACGCAGTCATCTTTTTTGTTCGTGTTTCAAAACTCGCCGAGGATAAGGTTGTTGTAATTCATCGCCCTAAATTATCGAGTTTCGGCTAGGTCATACGTTATTCTGTTGTCAGGGGCCAAAGCCGAATAGTGGCTGTTTAGCGACTAAAGGAGGTGTTCTGGTTTCTAGAATGTTTCTATGGCAACACTTCAATGTTTACATGGCAACAGCCCTACATCCACACTTGCGATGTAGCCAATGAAAGCACGTGGTACCTAAAGAGAATCGGGTTTGTTTGTTTGTTTGCCTGTTTTTCATAACAGAATAACTTCAAGCGCTTCTTTGGCCCATGCTCTCGCCCGTGGCTCTGAAAACGTGGTCCGCGGGGGGTCTGATCAGAAAGTTTTAGGCCTAGCTTGTCATGTCAGGCAAGCTGAGCAATAAAACTTTGTTGTTGCATGTCGTAAAATGTTTTCGGCATCAACATACACTTTTTGTGATATCTTCTTGCTGTATATGTAAATAAATCAAACCTAAATTACTACAGTAACATTTATTGTCTACTATAAAAATGGGTTTTGTCGTATAATAGTAACAAAATTCAGTAAAGGAGTTAACCGAAACCCTCCACCAGCATCAATCGCTTCTGCGAGCACAGACAACGGTCGGCTGATTACTCGAGTGAAATATTTGTTTATATATCCCACATCGTGGTCCGAATCCCCAAAACGACGAATTGACACAGTAACCTACCTGATTGCTACTATACACCTTATTTCGTTATTCGCAACGGTCAGGCATGTACCGCACTTCCCTATGAATGAAGTCTACAATGTAAAACACACGTCCCCTTTGCGCCTGACCACCCCTACCGTGAACGTTGAAGTTTTCTTTCAATGCATGCAGGGGCACCTTATTCCCTTAATACTTTCACACTCCCAACTGCACTTTTACTGAGATAGTGACCGTGATGAATTTACTCAGGAGAGCCGCACCACGGTTTCACGTTTATAATGAAAGTAATTATGCAATGGATATATACAAGTTGGACGAAATATTCTTGCGGTTATTGTCTAGATAGGCTTTTCAAGTTTCACGGACGCGACGCGTTTGACTTTGCCTAAAATACAACAAAAACGTCTAAATAAACACAGATGTTTTACGAATAGAATATGTAACTAGAAATGTTTGAATAATTAAGCATTAACTCAAAAGTTTTAAAGGGTCTAAATTTATGTTCGAATACGCAACAATCGCGGATGGAAGCTGGCTAATGAACTGATGGTGGACGCTGAAGTGATCGCACCGACTCTGCGACAAAATGCCAACTTGGTGGAAACCAGTCGCGGAGCGGCTGCGACAGTGCAACTGCGATTCTAATGGCACATTTACTAGAAATCGCACCGATTTCGGACGAGAATCGCAGCAAGCGAAACAGCCCTAACGCTCACCCCACCGCGCCCCCTGGAGCAGCTGCTCCAGGAACCGTTGTATATTTAAACAGCAAAATAAAGGATAGCTTTTTATTTTTTGGTAGATTTTAGATATCATTCTTTTAATGCTAAAATTACAAAGTGTAAATATGGGTATTTTCCGTCATATTTCCATACTGCTCAGTCCTTTTCCCAGAGAGCAATCGCTCTCGGGGTGGAGACAACAGGACATCGCAGACAACAGTCACATTGGCCACTGTACGATAGGAGCTACGGTTCAGACCAGCATCCAATCATGACTATGCGGACGTCAATCGATTGCACCGTGACCCATCAAGTGGTCTTAAATTCTTTAACGTATAAAGAGGAATGTCAACCTGCTACACAAGGTCCCCTCCGATCACGGCCCGACCGGCGGCATTGATGCCCGACAGTTTACGTCATCTTATATTTTTGTTACACAACTGATACGTGAACACACAGTCACATTGGCGATAATTCCAGTCTTTTCTTCACAACGCACAACACTGCCACCGGAGTGTTGCTGCTATTTTACTGACACGGAGAAATACAGAACCATGTTGATTGCCGGTTAGCACTCGCCATCGGAAAACAAAACTGAACTCAGCACAGGAGGCACCCAGACACCCGGCAGCAAAACCTGCCTGTCTGGGACGCAGTTTCCGCGATTTCCGAAATGTCGTCAACGTCGACACATCATTCCGCGTGGTTCCGCGTGGGTTTCACCATCCGAAAACGGCCATCTAAGCACAGTGCACTTAGCGCCGCTGGAACTGCTCCGGAACTTCGCTGTTTCTAGCAGCTTCGTTTGTTCGTTTGACAAAATTAGTGGTAAAGATGTTAATGCAACCAAAATGTTCTGCACGTTTGGACTGGGATACGGAATTACAAGCGGCCTTCGCTGCCACTGAAGCTCAATCAACTGAACAACATTTATTAAACAATGCGCGCGACGTGCTCGAAAAACGAAACCGAAAGTGGACGAACAGGGAGGGCGGAACCTTCCTCCCGTCTGCCTGGAGAAGGAGAAAAACGTTTCGTTCCTCCCTTCTTTTCGTGTTTTGCTTGGGGCGCGTCAATAGAAGGGCGGAAGACGCGCCACTGCTACCTTTTTCCTTCTTTTTTTCTTAGAGTGTTCTACTGAAGCGCCCCTAAAGCGGACACGAGAAGAGAGAAATGATTTTTCTTTTTCTTCTCCAAGCAGTCGAATTGAAAGTTCCGCCCTCCCGCCTTATCACCTTCCGCTTTCTTTTTTCGAACACGTCGCACAGTTTACATATATATATATATATATATATATATATAAACAATATTGAGCTGACTGAGCATCACTGGCAACAAAGGCTGCCTGTAACTGGTGACGAACCAAGCCTGTCTAGCTTGATTCGTCAGTTAGAAGGCATAAATGCTACACGGACAATAAAGTTGGACAATTAACGAGGGTTTTCGGCTTTTCAAGTCAGTAGAAGGGAGGCAGCGAAAGCTGCCTCCGTTCTACTGACGCGCGCCTAAGCGGGCAACGAGATTTTTTTACAACCTTCAGGCAGACGGGATAAAAGTTCCTTCCCCCCGCCTCTGTTTCTTTCGCGTACCACCGTTCGAGCCTTCTCTTTTTGATTTTCGTGCTTAACCGATCCCAATCCTGCACGTCGCTGCTAGAGGACACATGTTTTGAACTAATTTTTACCATAAGATTGAACCCTTTTGCCGTTCAAAACACCTAAACACCTTCCGTGAAATAACATTGCTAAAAAAAAAAATTATACGGTGGCAACATTTATAATGCTTAAATGATCATTGAGAAAACCGTACCTTCAAAATGACGATTATAAAAGGCGGAAGCGCAGTGTACGGAGTCAATGAGGGGGGTAGTGGGAGTCCATGTTCATATTTGTATGTGTTGCGTATATATATGTTCTCGCTGTATGTGAACTGTACTGTATTGTATGTAATGGCAAGCGAAGTGTATGTTTGAGTACAAAAATTCACAGGGTCTTTTATGTTAACCCTAAGACGATTTGAAAGAGAAAACCCAAGCGCCGGTTCATTAAAGACAGACACCCCCATGGTTTACTTAATTCACATTGATTCTTTATAATTCGCTTTGTCGTTCTTCTTAATTTGATTGCCTCTAATTCGCCTAAGTTGTCACGTGAACGTGATACCGAACCTCCGAAGACAGCGCGCTCTCTGACAACGCACTTTTGGCGCCGTTTCATTGGATCACTTGGATCGTAGGGTCGGCTGTGGTCCCGGTGATAGCGAACCTTCGAAGACAGCGCCCTCTCTGGCGACGCACTTTTGACGCCGTTTCATTGGCACCTTTCTTTTTTGTACCTTTCGTATCGCAGATGTGTTTTCTGAAGGTTGACTGAATTATGAGACATATAAGGCTTTCGCCTTTATAAAGATGTTAAGTCGCAATCGACTAAGCATAGCGCCACATAGACTAGACATTTGGAATTACTCTGCTTGTGCCTCCCATCTGGTGGCTAGAGATTAAACCTTTTTTCACGCTTCATGATCACTTTAGGGACGTGCAATGAGCCAAGTAGGCTGCCTTGAATCAGCTTTTTCGAGAACGACTTTTGGTTTCGCGAATGGTTTACCAGCCCTCTCTGACGTGCGGTGCTAACAAAATAAATGTGTCGCAGGGAATCGCAGAAGTTAAGACGCGACGAGCGTGCGAAGGCCGGGTTTCGGCTGTCTACGTTAAACATCGCAGCATTGAAAACGAGAAGACTGGGGGACTGCGTTAAAAGTTGATTTACTTGCCTATGCGAGGAGCAGGCTTCGAAAATAAATACAGTTCGTGAGAAGCTCGTGCTATGTTTTCATTTGTGACAGCTTTCCTCCAAAAGCAGAGACTTGTTTGATTTGTGCGAAGGGATTTACTGCTTTTCTTGCGATAGCTGCTGAGCAGTCCCGGAGGGCTGCCAGTGGTGCGAGGTATTTGTTTGTCTGAAAACTATATTAGTTCTTATTGGTTGAATCGCGGCAGCGTTCGGCGTAAAGACCGATGATTTCCATAGCATTCTGGAATCCGGGTTAAGCCTTACTGAGCTCGATTCACTTGATTCAAAGCCGCCATAATGCTGCTCAGAAGAGGGAGGAACTTTGCTCCTCCATTTGTGCGGACGAACGCTGCTCTGTTTCTAAAGGAACATAGTGGACAATACCGTTCCCCATGTTCCTTTAGAAGTGGTATATATATATATATATATATATATATATATATATATATATATATATATATATATATATATATATATATATATATATATATATATAAACCCTTCCTTTTAAGAATGGAATATTTATAGTGTTTTTAAAACGCCGGGGCGATATTGTACGGATGAAGTAGCAACGCTAAGGAGCATGGATTTGTTTTGAATGCTAGAAACTCCTTCGAAAATTACCCCCTTTTAAAATCAATCTAAAAATACTGCAAAGTGGCTTGCGCAAAAAACATCAACAAGCTGACAAGTCTATAACTGATATAGTACACACTTCCAAGAGACTCCTTCAATTGATAGACTTGCCATTTGATGGTGTCTTTTGCACACGTCACTTTGCAGTATTTTCAGATCGATTGTAAGAGGGGGTAACGTTTGAAGAAGTCTATACCATCCTAACAATATTTTCACTCCAAGCTTCCACCACTTAGACGCACCTCTCTAAAATTCATGGTGCAGTATGATGAGACACCGATTTTTTGCGGAATATCTAAATTCGTTTCGAAGCACTAGAGCACACGCTCTAGATTTTCTTGAAAGCTGAAACGTTATCAACTTAGGATTCACACTTACGTTTGCGTTAAAGCAAGGATTTGATTTGTGTACTGCTTCGTGGTTTTTATGCAATGTGAAGAGGGAAAAATTAAGTTTCCTCCCCATTTGGAAATAACACCTCAGCCTTGATGTGTAATGAGACCCTCTCAGTGCTTCAAATACCCTCAGCCCATCAAACCCATCAGTCTTACAAACATCTTCAGCCAGTCGTACCTTTGAACCCTTTCAGATCTTTACGCATCTAAATGACTTTGAACCATAGACACAAATGCAGTTAAAAACGTTATTGGAAATTTATTTCCGACATTAATTTTTAAGTGCATTTTGTACCTCAAAAATACGATAAGAACCAACATTTGCTAAAACCTGGGCACAAACAGCTGTAAACGAAAGCGATCATACTAAATAGGGACAACCAGATTCTTTGTGGCTAAAATATCTTTCAAGGTTCTCACAATGCCGCTGGGTAAGTTCTTGGGGTGCACATTACTTCAACTACTAAAATCGACCAGGTATACCACACTGACACATACACACTGTCAGTAGCACGTTTAGGCAAAACCACGAACGCGCAACTAACATCCACCGCCTTCGAGAAATACTGAGCATAGTCACGGTGTCGCCTCCAGCGTCTTTTCCGCTCACTAGATGCCTCGGCAGCCGGACAAAAAAGAGGGGGAAGAAGCAGGGCACTGAGATACCTTCTTGATCTGCACACCCAGCTGCTCTAGAGGACAGATCCCACGCATGGGACGGGAAGCCGACACTGAGTGACCGTTGGTTGTTGTGCATTTAGTTTGCGCTCGTACGGAGAGAAAACAGGGTGCAGTCTTCTCACGAAGGCTGTATTTGCACAGACTAGAACTAGGTTTTCTTCAAAGAAACAGCAAAAAGCCCCCCTCCCGTTTTTACCACGCACCCTCTCTTCCTCGTGGGCGAGAAAAAAGGGTACGCGGGGAGGCGTCCTCGGCCGTACCTAGTCGAGCCCGCGAAAAACGTACATAGAACACACAAACAGTCCAATGGAGCCGCGAAGGCCACGACAGGATAAAGACGGGTAATCCCCTCAATTTCCTAACCCGAAAGGCCACATGATTCAAAAAATGCCCAAGCAGCTTCCCCAACAGATATATCCTGAAGGGTCACGTGATCTCTACTACAGACCAGTTAAAACGATTTCGACGGTTGGTGTGGTTTGACGGCGAGGATTGGGACAGACCCCACAAGCCTCTCAAAAAGCTATGCGCGTCTCTTACACATTTTAGGAATTCCTAAAGGGTACGTCAGGCCCCTTAGAGAACTTTGACAGACATCTCAAACACGGCAAACATTTTTTATGGGTACGTCAGAACATTTCAGAAATCCTGGTGGGATCACAGACGTATTTTCGATAGGGTCTTCTCGTTGAGACAATATATGGTATCAGCTCATCAGCTTGCTTTTTAAGAAAAGTTAAAACGAAATCGAGAAACTCACGTGGTAACAAAGATAACGGCACTAATGGGTTGATAGGGGTGCGTTTTGTTCCATTTCTTCTCTACTATGGTCGCCTGTTTCTTCAGTAGCCTTTTTAGCACTTCAGCATTCAGACTTCCTTCTGATGTGTGAGCTTGCTTGCCGGGCTGCAGAAATTAGATACTATAAACAAAGAAGATCTGCACACGCGGAGGTCACTTACATTCCACACGCTGGCCTTTAGAAAAGTGAACGTTACACGAAGTATATTTCTCTGAGTGTCAAATATTTCATTCATCTGGAAGAAAAATTAACGAGAGGTGATGAGACGCAGTAGAGTATTGTAGTTTTAATGTGTTTTCAAAACAAGCAATACACTATTTAAAAAGGACAAACTAGCCTGCACGAAATAAAAAAAGCTTAATTTTTACTGTTTCTTTTAATCTATCGGCCATCTTGAAGACCCAAATCCGTAATTAAATCTGCGGTCCTGCGGTGGTCGCCGTTGCTGTAGTGCGTTAATGCATCTCGCCATTTTATTGCACATAAAAGCACCCAAAAATGTGGCTCCGCATGATATTATAGTTGATTTTCTAAGAACTCTAGAATGAACCAGATAGTACTGGATAATATATTAAATGAAATAAACTAATGGTGATCACTGTCCACTTTTTTCGATCGTCAAAACAGTTCACTGCATGCACTTGTTGCAGGATTGCAACGTCGTCTCGAACTAACACACACACTCAGGAGAATGCCGCTGCATTGGCGACCACCATTACAAACTCAGTCCCCCTGCTCGTCTTGGCTTCCTTGCCTTTAGCCGTTCCCCTCGCGTCGGCTTCCAGTGAAGTTCGGCGTCCGGCAAACGAGAGTAGCTTCCGGTAGGATTCCAGCGACGGGTAATCGAAAGTGATTCTGGTAGAACTTCCAGCGAAAGTGACTGCCGGTAATATTTGCACGAAAGACTAATAATTTACGCTGGTTTCTGGTGAAAATGAATGGAAAGGAACCCGTTTCCACCGAATGTCACTGGAAACTTTTGCCGGATTTTAACCGAAAGTGGCTTCAGTAAAAGGTCCACCGAAATCTGGTAACTGAAAGTGGCGGCTGGTAATATTTCCACCAAAAACTGCTAAGCCATGCTGGTTTCTAGTGAAAATGAGTAAAAAGCAACCCGTTTCCACCGAATGTCACTGGAAGTTTTTGCCGGACTTATCAATAGGGATATATCATCGATCTGCCTCATAGGTTACTTTGGTTAATTAAAAGTGTCTGGTTAAAAAATTATAATTTATATTCTACAAGTAATAGCCCTGCACGCATAGACTCACTTTTTTTTAAATTTTCAAGTTCAGAAGTGAATAAAAAAGAATTGGTAAACCTGCAATATTGCTGAAACACTATCAATTGAGGTGAAAGTTCGGTCCTGCACAGTCTTGTACCGATGACTTCTAGTTTAACTAATACTGTATCAGCATTGGAGGCCTTAATTTATACACAAGTTATATATTTATTTATCAGCGTGACACCTTTTATATGCTCACAAATATAGTCATGATTAAACAATGAGCGGAGGCACAGTTGCGTTAATATTTTTACCTTCGCTTTCAAAAATAAAAACGAGTTCTCAAATAATGAAAATTGGATGTATAAATTCGACCAAATTCTAAAGTGATACTAATGGAAGAAATACAAAAGGCATGTTCTATTTATTATTTATTTATTTTACACTGCTACTACCCCAAATATAGTGGCATCGTAGGAGAGGGTTACAAAAATGTATATAAATGAATACAATTTCACATGATGAGCAAGTCGCTTGCTATGAGGCGGCCAGCCGGTGCAGGAAGTTTTCAAGTGAATCTGAATTAGTGATGCTGAAGTAAAGGCTATTCCAAACGGATTTAGGGGGCCTGACTATCCACCTCTTCTTCGTTATATCAGCATGAAGAGTTTCTTCCTCAGAGGTCTGTTTTCCTCAGAGCTGTTTATACTCAAAGAGTTTGGTGTTCTTAATCAGGTTTTTACTGTCTTGCAACCACAGCAGCGTAGTCTGACAAATGGGGGATGAGGACTTCCGTCCGCCATTTTGGGGCTCTGACTCATATACATTTAATGTGATTTCTCAGGAATAACGCAGAGAAAGAAGTAGCCCCTTTTTGTGTCATCCCGAAATCCGCTACTTCTTACAGGCAACAAGCTCCACCCATTGGTCAAACTCTTTTAGTATAAACAAACGGCTCTGATCTTCATTTTAAAACCCCGCCGCCCGCCGTTCGCCCTTCGTGCATGTGGGCCCCTTCTGCCTCTCAATCTATTTCACTCTGATTAGTCCTCTTGGTCCGAGTACCCTCTACGTTGTTGGGAAACGAGCCAGCTCTTGCTCGAAGCCAGATCCTAACACACTCTGTCCGTATCTCCTCCCCGGCGAGAGGGGCGAGAGGAGTCACCTAATTGTATTTCTCGCATCATGCTCGCAGCTATCTCAGAAGCACTAAAGCAAACAAAAACTTGACTCTAGCCGCGTGCAAAAACAACACGCGCGACCATCCGTGACTTGCGCAGCAGTTTTGAAGTACTGGTTTCTCCACTCTTTACAAGATAGTGGGGATAATTGCTCTGTATCTTGCAGACGCTTTAGGTACGGAAACACAATGACGTCATCGCCAGCTATATACCTTCCGCTTAAAAGTCGGCCCGCGAGAGGGGCAGTGCGTATCGCGCTAGTGACGTTAAGGGTGCATTCTCACTGGAAGCAGATCCGCGTTCGCGAAGCGGTTGCGGATGCGCTTCGCGAGCGACCTAGTTCAGACACACCGAGAGGTGGTCGGCAGTTTCTCGGCGATCACCCGTGATCTTTTGAGACTTGCGTTTGACAATCTTGTTTTACAATCAAAAATCCGCTTTAATCCACAATCCAAAGCCGAACTTTTGCTGTTTTGCCACTCTGAAGATTTTTTCCGTGATGTTAGCTTGCATCACGAGTTCAGGCGGCGAATAAAAAAAGCCTGGACCCGCCAAACTCGCCTGTGATGCCCTCAACTTCGCCCACAAGCAAAGCCCAGCTAGGCGCGCCTTGCTGACTTAGAACAGGATGCCCCCGACCTTTTCTTCGAAGTGGACCCTTCCCGCCCGAATAGCTGACCTTGTTTTCCGGACAGAGGGCCAGTTTTTACCCCTTGTTGTTCGCTCTTATCATTTTCGAAGTTGTGACTGAGCGGTGGGGTGGACCCTGCTGCTGGTGCTAGCCGGTCGTGGCTTCGTTGGTGGCGGACTCTCCTCTCGTCACTCGCACGTCGATCGAGTCTACTGTTTGTTTGACATTGAGCTCAAATAAACGCCGTATGTATTACCTCTGCATCGTCTGGTACGTACACTTTATTCCTTGATTAAGTTCCCTTTATTTATTTTGTTAGTAGTAAACGTTACAGGTCGAGGTAGCGCAGGTACCCTGCCCGCTCCGCGGTAAATCGTTGGCTACGCAATCAAGCTCACGGCGTCTCTATCGGCCTTCGTGGTGGCCACGCACGGCGTCAAAAGCTTTCAATTGTTCACGCGACTATCTTAGTGGGTAGAAAAACTGACAGTTCGGTCGATCAGGGGCGAGTTCCGACGTTCTACGGGCACACACTAACAAGACAGCGAGCATCGGGCTATGGCACCCGGAATAATAAACAAACTCTTACCCGAACCAAATCACTGGTGCGAAGCGCGTTAAAATTACGACTCAATTCTTTTCGCGGCGGATCCAAGTGACGGATGTGGACACCATGTTTCTCCGTTTATTTGTCGAAAGCTATGACTGTAGTGCTAGGACTACAGCGCCTTGGACACCAGCGAAGGGTGCCTACTTGTTTCGAAAGTCATTGACGTCACGTCAGCGTCGCATTGTGATAGGTTGCTGCTTTGCGGTTTGTGAAAGCGGTTGGGTGAAATCGGTCCAGAAGCGGTCGGCAAAAACGCTCTCCAACCTCTCAATCCTAGCCGCTTTGCGGTTGAGAACACGCGGATCCGCTTCGCGTTTGCGGATCCGCTTCCAGTGTGAACGCGCCACAAGAGTTCCTGCACGGCCAAGGGTACTGTAGTTGCGAGCGTTGCCGCCTGGCGGTGTAAACGAGTGAGAATCTTGCGTAATAGTAATATACGAGGACTCTACGCTCTGTGGTTTACTATAGAGCCACTAATTAAGCCACGCTTAGGGCATCGGCACTCTATTGTACGATATTGTTGTCGGCGCCGCCATCCTAGCTCTTGTGCAAAACCGACGCAACTGCCGATCATTGTGATTCAAAAGGGCGACTTCCTCAGCATTAAATTCGGTGTAAGGGAGCTCATGTAAGATTGCTTAGGCGAACTGCTTTAACACTTGCGGGGGACGAAAAAGCGCTTCCCGTGATTTCAGATAAAGCTTCAGATAACTGGCAACCATGGTTTCAATTCACAAGATGGGCCAGTGTCGTTACTTTGAAGCGTGGCCTATTTAGTGCTCTCCGATCTGCTAGTGTGCGTCGCAATCTTGGTACCTAATGCAGATCAGACAGAAATGTCAGTCGTCACAATACAAAAACATGACTTTCTCAGCTTTAGATACAGTGTTAGAAAGCTCAGTTGATATTGTTTCGCTCTATCGCGAATCGTTTTAATGTTTCTGGAGGGCGGAAAAGCGTTTCCTGCGCTTTTACACAAAGCTTCACATAACTTCAGCCCTAGGACGACTGAAGTTACTCTGATGCCTAGCTTAGTTAGGGGCTCTAGCCTATGAATAGCTTTCCCGTAACATCCGGAGTCACGTTGCTTACACATCATAGAAAAGACAGTCTGCCAAAAGATCTAAACGCGAGTCACCGCGAGATCCGTGCTTCGAAGACCGCGTGACAATGAGTTCAAGGAGGAAACTTGACACGTGGCATTCGAACCACAGATATCGCGGTAGCTCGTGTTTGCAGACTGCCTTTTGCATGATGTATGAACTGCGTGGCAGGGGGATCGGTGGCCGAGTGGGCGCACATGAGCTCGGAGCACGTGGGGCGAAAGCTCACGCTGCAGAACCCAAAGATCCTGGGCTCAATCCCCACCCGTGCCCGTTTCGATCTAGATGAGCATCGTACCGGCGTGCGGTCGTGTACCACTACAGCGTGGTGCTCGTTAAAGACCCCAGGCTAGCAGTTTGCACTGCGCTGGCTAAATTGCTCATCTACAGCAAGTGACTCGTTTGAAATGGCTGACAACTATACGCTGTATAAATATCCCCGCAACCCCAATTATTTAACTGAGTGACCCCCGGCTTAATGTCATTCGCGACAATGCCGGTATTTTTGTGCGCGACGAGCGTCCAGTTCTCCATGTCAAGCGAGTTTCACATGGAGCGATTTTGGCCCTAGAGTGGCGTGATTTCTGCCGTCGCGGCGCTCTGGCCAGCCGCAGCGACTGAGCAGCTCGGTTCCACCAGGGGCCTTAAACTCGTCAAACACAAAGTTGGGCCGAAGTTGACGGAACGCACCGATTAGACAATCACGACGATGACTTCGTGTTTTTGTCGCCGACGTCCAATCGGCGAGCTCCGCGAACTTTCGGGGACCAACTTTCGGGGACCAACTTTCGGGGACCGCCGCAAAGTGGCGCTGTTTTTAGGAGCTCACGACGTGGCGCCATTCCAACGAAGCTTCAGAGACCACCCCAGGCACTTCAGTTTACACTTCACTTCAGAACATAGACCACATCTGCACAATTAAATAAGTGCGAACATTTCGTTTCTATACCCCTTTAATAGACCGATGTTACTACCATGTACTAGAATCATGTATTGGTAAATTACTTCCAAAATGTAATTTAATTATATTTAAAATTACCTTGCTTGAAAAGTAGTTTAACTTCAGTTACAATAACTACTACGTTAAAAGTAATAATTGCGATTGCGAATTACTTTTCAAAAGTAATGCAATTACTTTACAATTACTTATTCCTGAGAGCGACCCGACTTGGGCCCTATGCGGAGTGCAAGTTCGTCTGCTTCTTGTACAGGGGTTGCGGTAGTGTCAGAACGCTGAGCTCGTATTGGCTGTTCGAAAGAGAATAGTGGGTAGACCTCGAGGCGCCTAGCGTTGAGGTCTACCCACTATTTTTCAAACAGAGCAATGCGGAGCTCAGTGTCATTATAACGTCATCGCAACTCCTGCGCAACTCTCATCAGCCAGTTTCGTTGTATCACAATTTGCGCGAGAACCCCACTGCGGGGTTGGGCGAGCGGAGCAGGCGACGGCGCGGGCTGTCTGGTGAACTGACTTTTGCCTCCTGTGAACTAGAGCCAAAAAAGACCGAACTCACCAGACAGTTTAACTACGCCACCACTGCCGCAAAGCATCGAGGGAAGTAGTCTCTCTGCACGTGCAACAACCACGCTTGAGCTCTGCGCGTGTAAAGCACGAGACGGCACGAGCCCTGGCATGCACGGCCGTCATGCCTCCTGTGAACTAAAGTTATGGCGGTGTCACGCATGCGCCCAGCGCTTACCGCTCATTCACACTGGAAGCCGATCCGCGTTCGCAAAGCGATTGCGAACGCGGTTGTATAAGGATCCAGTGCAATTGCACGCGCACTCGATGGCATCGAGTGCGCGTGCAATTGTATACTGGATCTTTACACAACCGCGTTCGCAACCGCTTTGCGAACGCGGATCCGCTTCCAGTGTGAATGAGCGGTTAGTGAGATTGATTTAATGAGCTACACTTAGAATATTGACACTCCGTTCCCCGATCTGCTAGTGGGCGCCGCCATCTTGGTGATTAGAGCAAAGTAGGCGCACTCTGGATGGTCGCAATTCAAAAATGTGACTTTCTAAGCTTCCGACACGGCGGTAGGAAGCTCAGTCGATACCGTTTTGCTCTGTCGCGAACTGTTCTAACATATCTGGAGGACGGAAAAACCGTTCCTGAGATTTCAGATAAAGCTTCAGATAAGTGGCAATCATGATTTTAACCACCTAAATGCCTTACATCTCATTACTCTGAAGCGTAAGTGGCTCTTCCTTCAACTATAGTTATGGCTGCATCGCGCATGCGTGAAACGCTTTGTGAAATCAGTTTATTGAGGCAAAGTTTAGCAAAATAACGCAAAAGTTGCACAAGAACCGAGTTACAAGGGAGACGTAAAAACGATTTTCGTAAACCTCAAATGCCGGGGATGCGCTTATATGTGTATGAATCGTATCGATTTGGTCTTCAGTTCAGACAGTCAGGCGTTTCGCGATTTGTAAAAACGGATACGTTTAGTCGCACCTTGTCCAATATTTGTGACACAAGCAACACAAAGTGTTGCTGCTGCAAGCGAAAAATGCAAGCCTGTCATGCGACGTATTGAAAACCCAGCGCGAGTATCGCAGCACTGGTTCGCCGCTATGACTTAGAAACCCGCTACCATTGGGGCCCCCTAGTTAGAAAACACTTTATTCTCAAATGCGCTCTCACAGTAGTTTCGTGAATGTCTCAATATGCTGCAGGACTCACTGTAAAAACGGTGGCTTCCAAAAGAGCGACCAAGAACAATATCCGATTTATCCTCAACGTTGGACCATAAGGAAGAAGGATCTCGCTCACTGCTCGTGCTCGCGGGAATACTTGGGTCACAGTTTTGTCATTATTCTTGTGTCAATTGCCTAAAATTTCAATCCTGTACGTTGATACCCTCGGTTATCTAGTTAGGTTTTGAGACTTGCGAAAACTCACAGCAGTGTAACAGATAGAGTTATAAAGTCACAATTTCATTCTGCGCGATTTATAAATGGTTCTTTTTATAATATTTGCAGGAATAAATCTTTATTACTGGAAATAGCTCGACAAATAAATTTTAGAATTATATATTTTAATATTTAATTCTTCATGACATTATTCACGAAAATAGGGATATTTTAAAAACCAAAATATTAACGAAGAAAGTGAAAAAAAAACGCAGTCAAGCCGGTGAACTAACACATCAGTGACCAAGTCACAGCATTATTAGAAGGATATTTTTGCTTTCCTTTGTCCAACATAATTCAGATCTACTTACATTTTCCACAAACCCTTTTAAATATTTACTCTCCCGTTGTACACGTTCCTTGTGCGCTTTATCAAAGAGAAAGTAAAGTTCAAGATGAGCCCAACCTTTAACAGATATTCCACCTGGAAAGCAGAAGGGGATGTAGTTGAAAAAACAAAACCAAGTGACTGTGAATCGAAGTCATTTTGCTGTTTTAAACGACTTTACACATAAAAAATAGCCTTATATTCACAATATTTGGAATAAAACAAAATCTGGAAGGCAAAAACAACTTCGACTCTCATTGTGACAGTTTTTTTACATTTTATTCTATGCTTGCATCTTACTTCTTAAAAGCTTTTGGTTTTAAGTATAATTCAGGGTGAAATCAACAAAATAAAACCCGGTGTTTCGTACCGCATAAATAAACCACGTATTGCAGAGAGCTGAAACTCTGCAAGAAAGTGACGCTAGTGGTGGTAATAAAATGTAAAATGTTGAGCACGCGACCTTAGAGGGGTCGAAAGGTACAAAAGAAAGAAAAAAAAAATTTATGAGCAGACGTCCACCCAAGCGTAATTTGCGTCACACGAATATTTTAGATTGTGGGCGTCCGTAGCATTTATTTCGGTGGAAAAAAACTTGTCAGTTAAAAAGGAAACATTGTTTTCCTTCTTGCTGACAAGTGTTTTTCACCGACATATTTGCTACATTTTCTTACAATCTTAAATTTCACTTGATGAATATTAGGCTTAAGCGAACACAGCCACATAGAAAAGTTTTGTTTTTCGTCGCTATCTTTTCATCCCGATAACGTCCAGTGCTCAAGTTTTGGGCTTTTATTACCACCGCTAGTGTTATCCAGCCCGTAACCCTAGTTTCATTTTCTCGATCTAACTTTTTAAAATTTATTTCAAGCTCAAAAATAATAACTAAATACTACCGTTTAGAAAATGACAGTTAACTATTTCTGCGTTTTGAAATAATAACTTGTTCTTTCTTATGTGCACAGCGCTAGTGTATAGTGCCTCGCTAAAGAACAGTGTAGTGTAGGAGCAAGAAAAAAAAAATAAAATCGAATCAAGAGATTAACAGAATGTTAAAACCCTCAAAATTGTACGTTTTTTTGTTTTTTTTTTAAATTTGAGGCTTTATACGTTTGATTGGTATTTTAATCAATGCAATCACTGCAGTTTTTGGGTTTATAAAATTTCTTGGTATTTTATCAGGTATTTGTATTTGTGACTATATACTAGAAATAGTAGGTTCTCGAAATTACGAACTTTGTGACGTCAACATAAACGAATAAAATAGGGCAATTGATTAAATCCTGATTGGTCGCTACTGCGCGGAACGAAACCCAATTTCGAGGTCATGCGATTAAAACTATTTTAATGATATTTAGATATGTGGATTGTGTTTGTGTAAATATTAAGGCACGGAAAGATTTCTTGTCATAGGTCTGTATTTCATTTTTTCTAGCTTACACCCTCGGTTACAAATAGTTGTATCATTATTTATGGACGATAGTTTTACTAAATATTCATCCAATATTTTCGATATCACGGTATTCAACCAATATTAAGTATCAATCATAAATAATACTGGACCTCCAACTCAACGAAAAAAACATAACGGACAATTTGGTGATCCCGGCTCTTGCAATTGACTGCGTGTCTACTTACCCGCCAAACACTCGAAGAGCCAATTTCTGTGGTCTACGAAATCAGCTCATCAAATGATGAGGCGGAACACCTGCTTAGACCTCAAAATTAAGTCTGCGCTGTGACATTGCAATACAAGCATGGCGCTTTGCATTGCGCAATGCCACAACGCAGACTTCATTTTTAGGTCTGGACGGATGTTCGGCCTCATCATTCGCTGAGCTGATTTCGTAGATCACAGATATTGGCTCCTTGAGTGTTTTGCGGGCAAATTGACGGGCAGGCATTTGTTAGAATATAGGAAAAGTGGCTCGGTATGCCTTAATCGACTCAATGGCTCTTACCACTCTACAAAAAGCCCGCGCGTTTCCTTTGCCCGAACCGACACTTGGAGAGCCAATCACTACAACTTCCCGAGGCGGCTGAGCGAATGGCGATGCCAAAACATATGTGTAGACACACACACACACAAAAAAAAAAAACAGATTTAGTTGTGGCATTTAGCAATGCAAAAAGTTACGCTTGCATTGCTTAATGTCACAAATCAGGGTGCGTTTTTTGGTCTAAACAAAAGTTTCGGCATCGTCATTTGCTGAGCTGCCTCCGTAATTTGCGGTGATTGGCTCTCCGAGTGTTGGCGGGAAAGTAGACGCACCGACTTTTTTTAGTGTATCCAAACGGGTCCAGAATATCTCGTAAAAAATAAAAGGTTTCATTCAACGGAAAAAAAAAGGTAACTGCGCAACCGGTCAATGTTTCAAGGCGCCGGGCGAGATAGATGGGACATGGTATTGGCATATAAACTTGTTGGGGAAGCCCCTCAGCGACTGAGTATGTTCGATAATATTCTTTCACCCTACAACACCACACTATATAGTGTTGAGAGTCGACTTATGCCGGTGTTACACATGCACCCTCAACCGCAGTTAACTGAGCTTTAACTATTTCTACGCGTCAACACAGTTACCGCACTATACTCTCGGATAGCTATCTTAGAAGAAGTGAGAGTGCGCGTACACTACTTTGATATAGGTGCTCAAGATGCTCGATCAAGTGCACGTGAGCCCGTGGCTTTGACTGCATAGCCTCAAAATGCTGTCCCTGTGGCTTACCGTAACTCCAGTTAAGGGCGCCCGTGTTACAAGGGTATTAGAGAGATGTGAGACATCGGGTGGAATCTGAATATTTTGAAACATCCGTAGTTTCTTCAGCAAATGGGAGTTTTCTTAAATCCTTTTCGCCGTCCCGCAACGATTTCCGCAACCCGCTACGATACCCGGAACTTCACAGTCAAAGCAAAGTAGCGGTTTCTTCGTTGAGGAGGGCTTTGCGAAGGGGGAAACGCGGTCTACGAAAACTGCGCAATAGTCTCCACTTTATAGATTTCATCTTTCTATTACATCAACATTTATGCCGCTATATATTTTCTTTATTGGTAATTAAACCTTCAATGTTTTCTTCCTTCAAACATAAGCACCTATTTTTCGGGGTTACATTTAGTTTTCATTTTATTATAGCACGAGTCGAGAAAACTTCAACTGAACGGTTCTTTTTTTTTTCTAGTCTAGCCAAACAAATATCAGCCACCTAGTAAACAAATTCACACTTAAAGTAGATACTTACGGGGTTCTATCATTTTTATATGGCTGTTGCTCCCAGCGTCCCCATCTGAATATGCATTGAGTGACGTTCCTGAAAAAAACGAAGAAGCAAGTGCATCGATTGAAGCATATCTCTCGTTTGGACGTAATATTCACGTTAAAAAAAAGTGCCAACACATTTTTCAACATCGCAGAAGTAAATTGTGATTTGAAGAAAGCTTAATGTTGTTACATTAATGCGATTACAGCAATTTATTCACAAACATTGGCGTCACATCAGCCATGTGCGCGGATGTGGTCAATGACCGAAGTGATGAGCGCTACAAACAATTTTCTTTTAAACATTTTACAACACCCGCTAGATCGTCTGACACAATCTATAGGTGACATTCACTTGACGTCACTCGCTAGGTTCGCTGGCATCGCCCACCACGGTCGCCATCTTCGAGGTCTCTTGCTATCGCGAATGCCATCTGGCCGGACCTTTTGAGCGTGGTTTAGCAGTATTTTACAACTTTAAAGGGTCTTTTTGATCGAAACTAGGGGTTATTCTTATACTTTGGTGCTTTTGAAGCGCCGTGGGAGTATTTTTTGTGTGTTTTAGTTCGTTTTTGTCGCTATCGGACTCGTTTACCGCGGCCGCGTTGCTCCCTCGGCTCCATGAAGCACTCCGTGTCGCCCGCCGTGCCGACGGCGGTAGCTCTTGCAAGAACTAATTTTTCTACTTTGGTGCTTTTGTAGCACGGTGTGATTACTCTTCGTTTTGTTTTACTAGTTTATTGTTTTTCTCTAGCGGATTTTCTGTACTACGGCCGTGTAACCGTATTGCTCCATCGCCGCTGTGTCGTACATACGTCGTGCCTTCGGTGTTCGTTCCTGTGCAGAAACATACTGTGCGGCTCACAGAGTGCGCAGCTTATAAAAAATGCGGCGCATTTTTTATTAGCCCAAGCGATTTAAAAACCGCATGTAAGCGATTTGGCGAGCGGGAAGACAAGCGACGGCGACCCGCTTCGCTGCCGCTCGGTCACTCGCGCGACGAGGCAAACCGCATAAAAGCGACGGGAGCACACGACCAAGGCGATGAGCGCTAAGTTTTCTAGAAATCCCAAAACCGAGCTACGCGACGAGTGACAGAGAAGGGTGAGCCGCATGTAAGCGATTTAGCGAGCGATGGCGACAGCGACGGGAGTCGGCGACGAGTGACGGAGATTTCTCGCGGTCGGTCGTCGCGTCGCTCGGTTTTTGGATTTTAGAAAGGGTCGCATATCGCCTTGGTCGCTTGCTCCCGTCGCTTTCATGCGGTTTGCCACGTCGCGCGAGTGACCGAGCGACAGCGAAGCGGGTCGTCGTCGCTTGTCTCGTCGCTGTCGCTCGTCTCGTCCCGTCGCTCGCCAAATTGCTTACATGCGGTTCAGCCTTTACACGTGGTACTCGGCGGCAACAAAGAAAACGGCCCGCCCCCGAGACCAACTTTTCTTCTCTCTTCTGTTCTACGAAGTTTCAACGATATGAAATTAGCACACACTAGCAGCGGACGACCGCGTAGCGTACCCAAGCCAGTCAAACCGAGACCTCGAAGATGGCGGATCGACGGTGGCGCTCCCTGGCAAAATCGAACCTGCAGGCTCAGTGAATACCACCTATTAGGGACGTTCGTTTTGGGTGCCTAAGAAGGCATAGCATGTTCACAAATGCTTTGAAAGGGTCATACTGAAAACTGTAAATATCTGCAAGATTTTATGCATGTTTAAACCAGTTTAACTATATATTTTAACTACCAGAGTGAATTATTTGGGATAAAACGGCTACTGAGGTCAAATGATAGCAATATTTCTTCTGTTTGTGAATAAGCACACGTTTCGGTGAACACCAAAATTTATTTCTAAAATATGCCTCAATTTTATGTCCTAAATCACATAAATTGCCTGTAGACATTACTCTTTCTAGGCATCCTTTCGTAACGTCTGGGAATGTTGTGAGTGTCCGGCTACTGTGACGCCATTACTCAGCTTTTATCGTCGTGCTCTTCGCACTTGACTACGCCACTGTGCTCGAGGTAGCGGAAAGAACGCTTTCAACGCTCCGTGATGTCCGTCGTCCTTTAACCGGTCTGTCGTTGTATTTTTAGCGCTTCTATTGTGTGCAGTGAATCACCAACTAGCCCAATTACATACCCTTCAGCGCTAAATGCGCCACGTGATTGCTTATTGCTAAGGCAACGGCACCGGGCCGTTTGCAAAACTGAAATGCGGTTGGCGTAATTGTCAACCTCTATGAGCGATTTCAAAGTTCAGTCCTCTTCATTTTGTGTGGGCGTGTGTTTCATTCTTTGCTTTAAAAAAGTTGCTTCTGCGCAAGTTCTTTTACTACTGTTGCACCCGTTAATTAATTCATTAATTAATTTAGTTATTAAATATCCTTGGGGCCGACGGCATTAAAAATCAAGAGTGGGTACAGTTTTAAAAAAATAGGATACAAATATGACCACAAAGGCAAGAAAACAACCAACATCCAAATAGACATCTGTACTATACACCTTTCCAAGAAAAACTCGACCCCAGGGGCAGCAAACCGTTTTCGAGCCCAGTCACTGGGTTTGAGGCTAGACTCTCACCGGCGTCCCTGCTAACCCTAACCGAGTGGACTGTGATTTCGATAAGCGGAGTCTGCGTAGGAGCAGGTTCAACACTGCTGGTGTCTAAATTCTCGTCTTTTCGCGCCGTATTTTGTGTTTCATGGTGCACGTAAGTTTCCGAGGACATTACAAAATCACTCTAGCCCATCAAAAAAAAAACAAAAAAAAACCGTAAACTATTTTTGTTGGGTACGGCTGCGACAGAACGAATCTGACTACAATGTTAGTTATCATTTTTTTTACGATTAGTTTTGAAGGCGCTGCCCGATTAGCCACGTGTCAAACGACAAAGCGCTTAGCTGTCGAAAATGATATACCACAGAAGATAGCCGAAAGGCAAGTATTTTTCACGGCTCACAAATAGCGTGTTTATTGATGAACAGGACACGGTTATTACAATTTAGCGAGTGCTAACATTCGAACAATATATTGTACGCACCACACGATGCAGCGTTATATGAAAAAAAAATTATTTGAGAGCGATCTTATATAACACAGTCGCAATCCACGGCAGTCACATTTTGACGATCGGACGGAATCCAACACGACTTTGTTTTGGGGCACGTTATGGGGAGAGCTTCCTTTTTTTCAGAACAGCACCAAGGCAAAGGAACGAACGCGACTGACCTAGGGTGCCTACATGTTTCCGCCGCTCAGCGGATGCAGCGGAAACATGTAGGCACCCTAGATTGACCCGTTTCCCACACCAACCCGGGCATCTATTCTTGGAGATGACTGATGATTCTACGCGGATTATCTCTTGGGGGGAAGGGGGGGGGGGGCAATTGTCGTTTCTATAGCGCCGAGGGCCGTTCGACGCCCCTCCCTCCTTCGGTTTCCGCGAATGTCGAGCAGAAGAGCTTGAATGGCAGGCATTTACCAGCCCTATTTCTCAATGTGGAAGATTACACAGAAAGGGTTTGCAAAGTCCGAGAGAGTGACAGAACGCATCACGCATCAGAAAAAATTAAGTGGAAACTTTCAAGAGGGGCCAGAAAACGGCAAATGCAAAACCGCAAAACATAGGTAAAGAGTCGCGCTGAGCGGGTTTGCAAAGTCCAAGAGAGTGGCAGAATATTTCTAGCTGACAAAGGGAGCGAGAGTCGCAACACCGCATCAGCATCAGCAACATGGCGGCGGCCTAGGAGCGTATTTTGGAAAGGTGTATAGGTAAGTAACTGCATATTTGAATATGCTATCAGACAGGATTGTTGCGAAAAAGTACTAACAACGGTTCCAGCTAAAAAAAAGAAAAAGTTTGGAGGACGTTTCAGTTTTGTCTTTAAAAGTGGACCGCGCTAGCGGAACATATAAACAAGTAGATTCCCGCTCGTTAAGAAGTCATGCAAGCGTGTCTTGCCTGGCCAAGTCTGTGGCGTGTCTGGCCCGCAGCCGAAGGGTCGTGGGTTCGAATTCCGCCTACTATTCCTCAAAATTTTCTTTAAGGCAAATTAATCACTTTATTTACAGAAATTACTTGAAGCATGCGGCGACGTTCATTTGCATTACATGTCATCTTTTTTAATCACTTTCATTCCCCGCGTAACGTCACGTTTCACGGAAACTTTGTGGGTTGTTTGAACTTCCCGCGCGAGGTGATGTGGCTGTGACGTCATGACCCTATTGACCAATCGGGATTTTCGTGGCACGCCACCGAAACCGGCTTTTCTCGTCACGCCATCAACGCTGGATTTTCTGCCACATGAGCTCCTTCACGCTATCGCGCTCATACGCTATATTCTTGATAATGCCGAGAAATATAAGGTGTAGAAGAAATCTAATAGATTAATTAAAATAAAATACCTGTAAATATTCACTCTAAAAAGATGTATCTACGTCAGCTTCACTCAATTCTGCTGTACTCCACGAAGTACTGTTGGGAGCAGAAGTTTGGATAACACCGGAGCGCCGAACGAAATAAAACGCTGGATATCCTGACTTATCCAAGTACCACCATCGTTTGATCGTGCCGCGGGCGCTCTTATTAAATGCCAGAGACGCGTGGCCATTTTTGACTCATGCGGGTCCCACGTCCAGACGCGCACGCTCCTATTAGTCTGTTGTATCTGCCGGTGACGCGCCACCGTTTGCAAGCACGCTCCTATTGGTGTACTTTAGGTGTCGGCGCCGCGCCACAGCGACGAACTAGATTGGTGGTGACGCTCCGCCATTTCTGGCTCAAAAGCATTACAGCATGCACCACCTTGGTGTTACTTGTTTAGAAAATCCATCCAGCGCTTTAAACCGAAAGGCATAACCCCGCTCTCTGACGGCGCGCCGCCTGCTTCCCAGACCCGCGCGTCCTTTCTTCTCGTTTGCTCGCTTCAACGCGACGCGCTCCGGTCTGATCGAACCGGCGATAGATGGCGCTCCGGCAGCCGTGATTCCACAATCTTCACTCATCGCTGTGGGGCTCTAAACTCGTAAAACACAAAGTTTGTGGGAGCGAAGGT